CAGGGGTCTGCAGAGAACCGTGGTTGATCAGTTACCTCCTGGCATGGACATGACTCCTGTGTGTGGTTCAGCTCCTGGAGATGGTCTGTGGTGACTTGGTCAGGTCATTTCTTCCAAAAGCCTTTTCAGGTCCCCACGTGAAGCCAGTTGTCACCTTTATGAGTTAAACTATGGCAAATCCAGAAGTCTGTCTCTGTTCAAGTGATGGTGTAAAGCTGCTTGGACTTCAGAGGTGGGTGTCAGCACCCTGCCTGGCTTCAGGGGCTGGGGAAGGTTGAGCCTGCCCCACATCTTCCTTCTCACAGCACAGGGAAGGGAGGCTAACAGTGGATTCCAGCTGGCAGAGGGGCTGGTGTGGATTCAGGTGGGGGGATTTTGGCTGTGGCAAATTGGGAGCAAACAAGTGAAAGAAGATGGTGGCTTCCAGGAGGGTGAAGCTCCAGCTGGACAGAGACTCAGGTTAGGGGAAGGGAAGATTGTAAATATATTTTTTTCTTCATTTTATCGGTACCAATTTACTTCACTGTGATTTTAAAGCAGTCATTACAGATGGTTCTGAAATACCTACGTGTAAAATGTGTATCTTTTACATGTATTAGTACAAAATTTGTTATTTACCATCTAGAGAATAATGCCTTTCAGAAACATCAACAGGGTAGGTCTTGTTCCCCCATCAGTCTGATTTCTACAGCAAATGTGATACAACATATAAAGAACTAGATATGTTTGTAGGAAGAAAGATTGGTTCCAAAATCCAGGATTCCTGCCTTCCTTGCTGGGACCCTGAGTCCCTCTCCTCCCTGTGTAACCTTACAGAAATTAAAGCATCCCCTTAAGGGTTGGCCATTTAATGCTTCCCATCATTTCCCATCCCTGTGGAACTCTATTCTCTGGTGCCCAGATGTCCAAATAGTGCAGAAAGTGGAGGTCAGTGAAAAATGCTGCTGATGACATGGAAGGAAAAAAATCTAGCTTATTTTTTCTTAGCCACGTTTCTACTGCAAGCCTAGAGGCAACAGAAAGCAACAGAAATAAATGTCTTTGCCTCCTCTCCATGAACAGCTATGGCTCTCCAAGTACACATGGAGGAGATGTAATAGGCATCATTATTTTTAAAAGTACAAGAAAAATTTAATTTTATCTTCTGTTCAAACTTAAACAAGCGAGCTCAGCCTTTCCTGAAACAAGAGCATCCATCAGCAGCAATTTACTGGGAGCTCAATAACAATACCTGCTCTGCACATGAGGGAGGAGGTTGCTGCTTCCTTGCTGGTACCATTTCAAACCCACTGCTGGGGTGAGGGGAGTGGGGTGGTGAGAGCTGTGGAGAAGAGGTTTCCATGGGTGTATTTCAACAGCTCCATGGACTGTTACCAATAGTGGCAACCTGGGTATCACAGGTCCTCTCAGCCCTGGTGGGGTCACAACCACCCCCTGCAGTGCTCCAGGCTGGGGGAAGAGGGGCTGGAAACTGCCTGGTGGGAAAGGACTTTGGGGGGTTGGTCAGGAGCCAGCTGGAGATGAGCCAGCATGAGCCCAGGTGGCCAAGAAGGCCACCAGCATCCTGGCCTGGGTCAGCACTAGTGGGGTCATCAGGACCAGAGATCATCCTCCTGGAGTCAGCACTGGGGAGGTCCCACCTCGAATTCTGGGGTCAGTTTTGGGCCCCTCCCTCCCAGAAGGACCTTGAGGGGCTGGAGCGTGGCCAGAGAAGGGCAACGGAGCTGCTGGGGAAGGGTCTAGAGCCCAAGTGTGGGGAGGAGCAGCTGAGGGAGCTGGGGGTGCTGAGCCTGGAGCAAAGGAGGCTCAGGGGAGACCTTCTGGCTCTGCACAGCTCCTGACAGGAGCCTGGAGCCAGGTGGGGGTCGGGCTCTGCTCCCAAGGGACAAGGGACAGGACAAGAGGAAACGGCCTCAAGTTGCCCCAGGGGAGGTTGAGGTTGGCCCTGAGGAACAATTTTTTCCTTGGTTCATGGTTGGACTCGATGACCTTCAAGGTCTCTTCCAACCAAAAGAGTCCTGTGACTGTTTGCAGCAGGTTTCCATTCCAACTCCCTCCTTGTCTCCTCCCAGTCTCTCCGAAGATATTCCGCATCTCCAGCGACCTCGTGGTGAACGAGGGGAGCAACGTGACCCTGGTGTGCCTGGCCACGGGGAAGCCCGAGCCCTCCATCTCCTGGAGACACATCTCTCCCTCTGGTGAGTACAGCCCCTCTCCTCTCTGCACTGCCTCTCCAGGAGCAGCCCTTGCCTTTGCATTTGACAGAAAATCAGTGTTTTTCTGTGGCCTAAAAATTTAGTATGTGCTGACTAGGCTTCTAGAAGATCACAGCTTCTCCAGGTTTCAGCTGAGATCCATGAAAACTAGAATTCTACTATAATATAAGAATGTAGAAATAAAGCCATCCTAAAGAGGAGTATATTTTTAAGCTGGTTTTCACAGGCTCCAGCCATTTATCAAACAATTCCAATTAAAAGGAAAACAAGGCAGTCATCAAGGGCACACAGGGCTCTCCAGGAGCAGGGGTGAAAGTTAAAAACTTGAACACATCATGCAGTAGATTTAATTTAACATAACCACCATTGAGCCATCGTTCCATGAGAGGGAATAGTTGCTGAGAGTAGTTTTATTGAAGGCATTAAATGACATGTGTGGCAAATTGTGAACCAAATGGCAACTTTTCTGTTTATACTTTTATTTACTCACAACATGTTTGAAGGAGATCTTGTGGCCAGCACTGGGCCTCTCTCCAGTGGGTGCCCTGGGGCAGGAGCTGGCTCCCTGCGAGCCAAGCAGGACCTGTCTCACTGGCTGGGGACATCCCTGCTCAGCAAACAGAGCTCCTGGCTCTGGGGGTCTTGTGTTTGTGCAAGGAAAGGCTCCTGCATGCCAGGCTGGGCTTCCACCCGTGCTGGGAGAGGCACGGAGAGCATTGTGCACTGAAGGGCTCTCTGTTTGCTCACCTGGCTTCTGTGGAACTGCAGAATGGTTTCCTGGGCTGTCAGCTCACCACAGTGTCTCATAATCCTGAGGAATGGTTGGCTTTACAAAGCAAGGTCTGAAAAAAAAAACCAACGCCAAAACTTCTGACCTTTATGACAGTGACAATGAATTTGGTTTGAAGTGTCCATCGAGGGACTAGAGCAAAAAAATCAGTTGTAGCAAAATATGGATTTTAACTAAATGTCAAATAACACTTTATTGGAACCTGTGGTGATACTTTACAGTAATAGCTTAAAGCATTAGATTGTCTACAGAAAGGAGCTGTTACAATTTTCCCGGAGAGGAAAAAAGCAGAAAAGGAGAATTAGTGCACTCAGGCTGGAGAGGTGGTTGCAGGAGGAATTGCCTCCTCGGCCTGAGTTCAGGGAGAATTAGTCCATTTCATCACAAGGGCTGTCAGCAAACCTGCTGATTTGTGTTTGACCCAAGGACTGGGGACGAGGACTCGGAGGAAAGCTGTGATCATCCCTGTGCAGAGTGTCCCCACGGTGAGCAATGAACACCACAGCTGAGGGAAAGACCAGTCTGAGATCCAAACTGCTGAAGGTCCAGGGGAGGCCTGTTCTGGGTTTCCCTTCCCTTGCCCGACACCTTCTTCCTTGGTTGGACTGGATGGTTTTAAAGGTCTCTTCCAGCCTCAATGATTCCATGATTCACAGCCGTGGGGTCCCCTGTGGCAGCCCCTGCCCATCTCTGCCCACCCCATCCCTGCCCTCCTCTGCACCCTCCGTGTTCCCACTTCTCAAGCCCTCTCCCACCAGCCCACGTCCCTCTGCATTGCACCTCTGTGTGAGGGTCATAAACCCCACCCCACAGAGCCACGCTCTGGGAAATGCCTCCTGTCCCTGGGTGAGTAATGGGCACAGCTCTCTCTGGAGTGGGCGAGCACAGGAGCCAAATAACTTTTCACTCAAAAATCTTGTAAAATCTGATGGAAGCAAACATCTAATTTACAGAATATGTTCTGCCCGCTGGTCTACCAAGTAAAGAAGAATTTTTCCATTTCAGTAACATCGTTCCACTTTTGTCCTCAAGTGTATGTTCTGGTGTGCAGAGAGTTATAAATGACACTCAAATCCAATTAAATATCAGTCTGTCAGACGAGGAGGCTGGATTTATTGGAAAACAAAATGAACCCCCCAGATTTCTGTAACAGGTTGTGTTCTGGCTGCAGCAAATTGCCTTTATCTAAACATGAGCTTCATCCACCCTTGGTAATTTCCACCAGTTCTCTCCTGTAATTCCCAGGAGCAGTAACGAAGCATCACACCTAGAATATGACACTAAATTATATTAATGAATCTTATTTAGAATATTCTGCAATTGTTTGTCAAAGCTGCTACTGAAAGATAAGGAACAGAAATCTCTGAATACAAATGACTCAATGTAGACTAATTCCAAAATATTATCTTGACTTGCATCAGTGCAGCCTTTCCTTGGGTAAGGTCAGATGCAGTTTTTTTGGACAAGAGATAAAATGAACCTTCCGTAGGAATAAAAATAAAATGTATTTCGAGGTAATTTTTAACTTGGTACATAAATTATTGGCCTGGAATCGTTATTGTGCATGTTTAACTTGCAGCCATTATGTAAATGCCTTTATTATACAAATATTCGTTGTACAAACCCATTATGTAAATCCCCCAAATCTACACGTCCAGCAAGAAACACAGGGCTGTGGTTTGTAATCTGGACATCCTCATTGTTGAAATGTCACCTGATCCAATTGCAGGGATGGCTTATTTTGTTCTGACATTTCGGAGTAAAGAGCTTCAGAATGGAACCAGAATTTTAAAGACTTGAGGTCTGCCTGGCACAAAACTGCAGCTTGCAACCCTGGGCTGGTCAGGAGGTGCACGCCTGGCTTGCTGGTTTTGGGAAGCAGGTTCTGCTCCTGCTGCCAGGAGCACCAACAGCAAAATGCAGTCAGAAATCCTGGGACAAAACGTCAGCACGTTGCCAGATTCGGGTACTGTACCTTGAAACTCTTTTCCACTTTGCTGGTGACACAGCTTTCCAGAGGAGACCTCTCCCAGCTGCAGATGCCCCGGGATGCTGGGATGGGGCCCAGCCACTGGCTGCAGGAGAAGAAAGAAGAAAACATAAGATGGAGCCATAAGGATCTGCTGTTTCGTTGGTGTTTCCTCACCGTGCCATCCCAGCCTCTCCAGCTTGGCCATCCTGAGCAGTCCCCCTCTGCCTGTGCAGCAGCTCGGCCTGGATCCTCAGCTTCATCCCTGGGCACTTCCAGTTTCATATTTGCCAGCCCTTCCCTGCTCTCTTGCCCTTTTCTCACAGTTTTATCCTCATTGCTTCCAGTCTAGGTTCTGATTCTTTCCCTGCCACATGAGGCTGGGCTGGCTGTAGGTGTGCATGTGTTTGGGGAGCAGAGTTCCAGAGTTTCAGAGCCTGTGGAGTCAGCTGAATGAAGACAGGCTTGCCCAGGTGGAGGGAGTGACAGGCACATCCCTGGCACTGGGACACCCTCATTGTCCACCCACTTCTGTTGCCAGAGAACGGTGCTTTCCAAAACAACCCAGAGACCCCCTCAGGACCCCCTGTCAGAATCCATGAGCACATGGAGAAGATCAGATTTTTCACTGCCACTGAAGACAGCTGCACCTAGGCAGGATGAGCCTGGATTTCAGTCTGACCCTGTTCCCACGGTACCTCCTCTCCTCCTCAAACATGTTTCGGGGGGCGTGGGGGGTTGTGCACCCGGGTGATGGGATGAGCTGACCCTGATGCCCATCCTGTTATTTCTGGAGAGCTGGTTCCTGGAGAACCCCTCCTGAAGCAGGTGGCTGTGGAAAGCTGGTGGGGCTGAGAAGCACAGAGACCTTTACAAACCTTCTGCCGGAATGCTCATAATCAAACAGAGCCTGATCTGGGCACACTTAATGTCAGATGTTCTGCTGGAGAACCTGGTTTTCAGATGTTACCCAGACGTGGCAGTAATGAGATGTGTTTTGTTGAGGTGCAAGTCCTCTGAACCTGAACTTTCAGGCTGAAAGTACTTCACTGACATGAGTTATTATCAGATTTCCAGGGCTTTGTACAAAACGTGACTTTGACTTTAAAAATACTCCATCTACTGCTTCAAAATAGTTTTAAAACTAGAAGTTTTAGAAACAGAAGGTTCTAGGTTGTGTCTTTTGTCATAGAATCATAGAATGGTTTGAGTTAGAAGGAACCTTAAAGCTCATCCAGTTCCAACCCCCTGCCATGGGCAGGGACACCTCCCACTAGAGCAGTTTGCTCCAAGCCCCATCCAGCCTGGCCTTGAACACCTCCAATATTGGGACATCTACAACGTTTAGATCTCAGAATCTAGCAGGACCCTTTGTCCTGTTAGATTCTAAAGCTCAAGCAGATAGCCTGGCTGCTGAGGGTTATTTCACACCCCTCTT